CTCTTACAGTGTTTTTTTTTTTTTGTTTACCTGGTCACTGTTGATATGAAACATCTTGTCATTTTCTGCATGAAGGTGTATATGTATATTTTTTTTTGAGAGAGATAGACGGAGAGGGAGAGAGAGAAAGAGTGTGTGTGTCCAACACCACCTCCATGTAGAAGACAGACCTTTCTATGGGGAAAGTAGCTGAATAACCATTGTGAGTAATTTCATGTAGCTGTGCAGTTGATTCCTCTACCTGTGTAGTTAGCTCTTTTTTTCTTTTTTAAAGTGTATTTCTTGTCTGCCAGTAAATAACTGTTACTGTCTCTAGGCTGGAATGTCTGAGAGAGGTCTGAGGTGGAAGTTTAAATGAGGACTTTCCACTCCATTCTTATAACCAAATGTCAAAATTGGGGTCCACTTAACATGCCCTATGTTCTGAGACCTAGGTATGTTTCTTTCTTGTGCCTTTTCTCTTCTGTGGAGCTTGCTGTGGTTCCTCAGAGCTTCTAACGAAGAAGTCAGGCATGATCCGATGGGACACTGGTGTAAGAACAGCAGCAGTCATATGTACAGACTGTGTTCAAAGCTCTGGGTAGCTCCTCATATAAGAGCCTGTTACCTGAAGTTGTCAGTACCTGTTGGTGAAACACTGTGTCTTCTCGTGTCTCTGTTGTGTCTCGGGTGACTGCTGGCTGGCACTTTGGAGGGTGAGTGCCTATCTGGCATGTCCATAACAGAAGAACTGGGTGTTCCCTTTCTGGAGCTCTGGGATGAAGTTTCCCTCCTTAAGCTGGTGCAGTACAGTAAACTTTATCATGAATTAATAATAGTCTTAGGTAAACTAAGCCAGACTTTAGGCCAGAATAAGCAAGACTCTGTTAGAAAAATACTGAAATTTCCTTAGTTTGTCTTAAAGGTTTGTTTGTTTGTTTTTTGGGTTTTTTTTGTTTTTTTGTTTTTTTTTTGTTTTTCGAGACAGGGTTTCTCTGTTTAGCCCTGGCTGTCCTGGAACTCACTCTGTAGACCAGGCTGGCCTTGAATTCAGAAATCCACCTGCCTCTGCCTCCCAAGTGCTGGGATTAAAGACATGCGCCACCACCGCCCAGCTTTGTCTTAAAGGTTTTTAAGAATTGTCTTTTTAATATAACACTATAAAGCAAAAAGTCTACTTATTTTATCTATTTGCTTACAAAAATCTATACTTCTAGTGACCTAAATTAAATTCAAGGGAAATGTTTAGAAAATTAAGGTTTTTTGTTTTTGTTTTTTTTGTTTTTTTTGTTTTTTTTTTTTAAGGGGAAGGGGTTGTGTTGTGGTTTTTGTTTGTTTGCTTTTTCTTTGTTTGGTTGATTGGTTTTTGGGTTTGTTTGTTTGTTTGTTTGTTTTCTCGTTTTTGAAACAGAGTTTCTCTGTATATAGCCCTGGCTGTCTTGGACCTTGCTTTGTAGACCAGGCTGCACTTGAACTCACAGAGATCTGTCTTCCTTTGTCTACTGAGTGCTGGGATGAAAGTGTGCAGGACCACTGCACTGACCAGCTTAATTTATTTCTTTATTCCTTAAGATTTAAAGAGCTTTGAAACCTTAAGATTTCTTTTTAAGATTTGAAACGGCCTGAAGAAAAAAACCAGAAAAGGTTGTCTTCTGGTTTTCCGAATCCCTAGTACTTCTCTTCATGTGGACTCAGCAGTGCTGTCTCGAGATTCTCAGACTTGCATCCTCACACCCTTCAGGTGACCAAGCTCCTTTGTCCAGGTGGCACTTACAGAAGCGACAAGCTGGGTTGAAGGGAGTTGAGACTTGAATAGCAAGCCAAGATGTCTTTTCTTCATCTTTTATTTTTAAGTATTTTGCTTTTGAGACTTTCATATATGAATACTGTTTTTACATCATTTCTCCTTTAATTCTGCCATATCCCCTTCTCAAATTCGTGCCTTCTTATTTGTTAATTGTTACGTGTGTGCATGCATACACATGGATGTGTGTGTGTGTGTGTGTGTGTGTGTGTGTTTGAATATAGGTTGCTGAGGTCATATAGTTTTGCTTATATGTGTTTAGGGAAGGTAGCTAAGGTAGCTCACCCCTGATCCTCCTCCACCTCCTGAGTGCTGGTATTGCAGGCAGTTTATGCTGCATGTGCCTGGCTGAAGAAAACTTTTTTTTCTCTCTTTTTTAAAAATTAATTTTGCATTGTCTGCATGGACATCTGCATATCATCCCCATACATAGGCCAGAAGAAGGTGTCAGATCTTCTGGAGTTGTGTTACGGATGCTCGTGAGCCCCCATGAGGGTGCTGGGAACCAAATGTCAGCCCTCTGGGTGCTCTTAGCCACGGAGCCAGCTCTCCAGCTTACCCATTACATATTTCTGGAAGAATAGCACACAAAGTCCACCTTCCCTTACAGCGCCGTGAGGCAGGTTGTCTACTTGCTGCTGTAACGAGGTTTGGTTATGACACAGAGCACCTATTAGAAGGCCATCAGCCCCTCCCCACCCTTTGAGTTTTTGACACAGGGCTTTTCCTGTGACTAGGCTGGCCTCAGAAATCCGCCTGCCTCCGCCTCTCGAGTACTGGGATTAAAGGGGCAATCACCACGCCCAGGCTAGATCTGGTTTCTTAAATGTTGCCACGCATGACTCCTTGTTGCTCAAGAAATTCCTAAGCAATCCCAGACACGTGGTGTATAAAAGAGACATACAAGGAGAACATTTATTGATAATAGGTCATAGTTTATTTTAAAACAATCTTTGCTGTATAGATATTTTTTACTATTTATTCAAGATGAAAACAAATATGCATTCCAACCAATGGATATGCTTGTTTGTCCAGTACGGTTAAGTCCAAAGATAGACTTTGTTTTGATATTACCTGCTGAGAAATGGCAGCAGGAAAATATTAGGTACTTGTTGTGTGTCCTTAAACCATGGTGTTTTCATAAGAGCAGAAACTGTTGTATGTGCAACAAAAACACTGCAGTTCGTACATAGTCCACAGTAGCCTCCAGTGTGAGCTGAGGGGCCGCGAGCAGCGCCATTTAGCATTGCATGGCGCAGTGGCACGTATGGTCAGATGCATGTGTGTGCTCAGAACCAGGAGCTCAGTAGAGCTCCACACCGTGGCATGGCCAGCTGCCAGGGCACCTTGGATTCCTTGTAGATTTATTTTTGTAGGGACTTTGGGCCAGTGTGTGTTGAGAAAGCATTGCTGCTGCCCCGTTCTTCTTTCCCTGGTGTGAGATCACTACTCATTCTTTAGTCGTGCTACACACCGCCTGCTAGCATGATGTGAAGCACACCTTTTCTGTGGGGAATTGTGGGGTGGTGCTGGTAGATACTTCTCAAGAAATTCTCACCTAGTGGCTTTAATGTGTCCAGTGCTTCAGTCATGTTCTGTTGTTAGAGGTCCACGTGTCTCTGAAAACCTACAGAACATTTCCCAAGGATACATGACCTACTCCTTCCAGATATTTGAAAAAAAATTTTTTTTTCTCTTTAGGTGCTTCCTATAAGCTCTCATGCATCAGAAATAGGTGTGTCACAAGCACTGGGTCGTAGAAGCTGAGAGGCAGCCTCCCTGTGTAATTTCCCTTATTATCTGGTCCAGCATTGTGCTGAGCTAGGTACTTAACTTTTGTTGTTTGTTTGAGAACAGCTTGTTCTAGGCTTTCTCTTACCCTGAGCCAAACATGTGGACCTTTTATTCTGGTATAAACTGTACTAGAAAGTCCAGCACAGGGGCTTGGCCCTGGGATTGTGCTGCTCCTCTTATTGAAAATCTTTCAACACAACAAACTGCTCACCCTGAAGAAAACTTAGCTTGTTTGGAAATGAGTTTAAACACTCACATTTTAGGTGCCTATTTATTAGTCCTGTCAGAAAGCAGTTTTTTACAAGTCTGGAAGTTGTTTTTTGGTTTTGACTGTATGTAAACAGAGGGCCCAGAAGGTGACTTGACTGAGCCTGGAGTCTGTTCTTACCCTAGTATGGAAATAGCTTTAGACGTGACTCCTGGTTAGCTGGGTTTTGGTAATCTCCTTAACCTCAGTACGCAGAACACTGAGGCAAGAGAAATGTCCAGTTCAAAGCCAGCCTGGGCTACATAAGAACCTGTTTCAGAAAATAGTTTGCATGGTTATTAATTCTTGATTTCTCTGCTCAATCAAGGATCAGTATAATGTTGATTATAGCAGTAGACAAGTGTATTTCATTTGGCCTATTGATCACTGATATACAGGTTGGCCTTGCATGAGAAAAGGTCAAGTGACAGCACTCAGGAGGCAGACAGGTGATCTCTGTGAGTTCGAGGCCAGCCTGGTCTACAGATTGAATTCAGGACAGTTGATCTCTGTGAAGTAAAGTTTTTTTTCTGAGCACACTGCTCTGAGTAAAGGTTTAGAGTACCTGAAGTAGGAGCAAAAGGAGAACCTCAGAGTTCCCGTTTACATCCCCTGCTAAAGACTGTAATATGAGAAGCACACAACCTGTGTTCTAAAAGACCCGTTATCTACCAGGCATGCCTCATAAATATCACCATCCAGTTGAGAAGAGCTAAGGAAGGGTAAAATGGACAAACAACTGGCATGGACTTTGTGGATCTGGCATGTGAGAGGAAGAAGAGAGAGTAATCAGATGTGTGTAGCTGGTGGCTTGGACCAGTGAGCTGTGTGGAGGAAAGTGGCGGAGCCCCTGAGAAGGTCTCAGTTCTGTTACAAGAATATGGCAGGAGGAGAAGAACGTTTCATGGTTCTGAGGGGCAGCTTCCCCCTGTGTAGTCCTCTTAAGGAATATAATTACCAGCAGACCTGACTTATACTGCTCTTTAATCTAGGGCCATGGCTAGACGGGAAATTGAAGAAGTGGGTGATGTTTTATTTACCTGTCTGATGACATCAATCCATACCCACAGCAGATGCTTTTGTTGTTCTGTGCTTTAACTCTGTCAGTTCTCAGGGACTTTTCAGGTGTATTAAGAAGTGATTCCTTCACTGAAGGAAATGTGTTTCTTTTGGCAGGTCTTCTACTAACAGAGGACAATGACTACTGATGAGGGCTTGAGTAACAATGGAGAAGACCCAGCAGCCACTGTGGCTGAGCAGGGAGAAGATATCACTACGAAGAAAGATAGAGGCGTATTAAAGGTAAGGCCATCGAGGTGTGGAACAGGTAGGTGTGCCTGCGTGAGAGCTTGTCGATCTTTATGCGCCTGCTTTGTGGACAGTATGGGTGGGGCTAAGTAGCAAACACTGCGGCTCACTTCTTCTCTGTCTTCATAGTTGGGGGTAATCTCAGATTATAGGTGGTGCAGCTTCGGCTGAGCTAGGTAAATTAACTCACAGGCCCTGGGAAACAAGTCCAAGTTATGCTTTCCTTCAAAAGAATCCCTCCTTATTTCAGAGTGTGCATGTAGATTGCTGTTTGAATATGTCATCTTAGTGTGCCAAAGCGATGCAGTGACTGCTAAAGAGTCTAGAGGAAAAGGAGAGGCCTTAGTTTTTCTATACAAGTACTGTTTCTATGTGTCATGATGTAAGGACACAGAATATGTATTTGGGTCATCTTTCCTATTCTAAGTGTGTGTGTGTGTCATGCATTTGTATACACACATGCATGTGTACATGCCCCTCTGTCAGGAGATCTTCCTCAATCACTCTTCTACCTTATTTTTTTATGAGACAGAGTCTTTCACCAAAGCTCAAGGAAGACTGTTTTAGTAAGTCTCAGTAGCCAGCAAGCCTCTGGGGTCCATCTAGGTTGGAGACACACTGTGTCATGATTATGTTTTTACACGGGTCTAAGGAATCTGAGCTTGGATCCTCCTTGAATCAGCCCCACATTTTTAATTTGCATCTTAGCAACAGTGTTATGAGACAGTACTTTTTGATGATGGTGGGACTGGGTATGGTTCCTAGGGTCTCACTAAGTTGCCCAGGCTGGCCTTGAATTACACTGTTTAACTCCAGCAGGTCTTGAAACTATCATCCTTGGTCTCCTAAGTAGTTGGGCTTACAGGATTGTATCCCCAGGATGGTCCAGATTCTCTTCTGTGGTTCTCTTCTGAATCTCCATGTATTCCTGTTCCCTTGCTTGGTGCTGTCAGGCTATCGAGATGTCTCTTTTCTTCAGCTTCTTAGCCTGATAGCTGTAATTCCTCATCCAGAGCTCCAAGAAGCTTCTCAAGACAGCGGTGATTCTTCAGGCTGTCTACAGTCTCCTGCCTCATCTTTTCAGTGTGCTGCAATCAGAGAACTGACTTCCCAGGTCCCTCAGACCCTGTGTATTCTGTAACAGAATACTGGGTGATTCATAGGAGAAAAGTTTATTTTGGCTCACAGTTCCATAGTCTGAGAAGTCCAAGAACATGGCATGCCTGCATCTCCTTGCTTCTAGTAAGGACTCACTGCAGAGTAGAAAGCAGAAGGCAGGCAGGAAGGCAGGCGGCCAGGCATAGAGATCTGTGAGCCACGAGCTGGCGTGGACAGCTTCGTACAACTTGTGCAATGAGCCAGTCCCTCTACAGGGAGCTCACAGAGGCAAGACCTTGATTCTACCTAACTACCTACTTCCTCCTGAAGGCCTCATGTCCCAGCACTGTCCTGGTAGCAGTCAATCCAGCGGAAGCTTTAGAGAGGACAGGTCGTATTCATCCCTCAGTCAGACCACAATATACCTCCGCTGGGAGTGTACGTTGCTGCCGGGCCTGCTCAGAGCTCTCTGAATAGACAGTAAACTATAGTCTCTCTTTGTTCTAGGGAGTAAGTCTAAGAACAACAACTTTTAGGCTTATTATAACTGTTTATGATTTTAAGTTCTTTAGGTTATAACATCTGTTGCTGTCTAGATCCTTCAAGTCACCTTGGGGCTTTTGGTAAAGATTCAGTGCGTTTCACAGCTGTGACCCGGAGTATTTGTCAACCTCCTTGGGTTAAGTTTTCTGTTTATAAAATTTATAATAATAATAATAATGAAAAGTATAAGTTGGTTTTATGCTTTTCACATAAATTAAAACTAGATTTTTCTCTTTAAGGCAACTTAAGACTTAAGCACAAGTTTTATCTTGTTGGGAAGACAAGATATACATACACACCTAAGAAGCGGACTTTAATCACGTCTTAGCTGCTGTCCTCTCCACTACTGACAATGGTCCCTTTGGCACAGATGATTGACAGGCTGAGTTGCACCACCACACACCTGGATTAAATTTTTTTTCCCAAGAACTGACCAACTGCATTAGCACCTTGCTCTGCCAAGAATAAAAGAAATATTCTGGATTATAAATATTTTTTTCATTTTGAAGTTCTTTTCTTTGTTTTTTTTTTTCTTTTCCTTTTTCTTTACTAGAAAACAAGCTACTTGGTAGCATCTAAGTCTGTATTTTATAGATTATTCAGATAACGGCAGTGTAAGCTGTTACATTGGAGCATACAGCAGGACAGTTGGAACCTGTCTTTAGTAGGGAGGGAAGTAAATAAGACACGTACATCTCTTGACTTGACTCTTTACTGTTTAAGAAGTCCAGCAGTCTTTGGCTAATTCAGTTTGTGTACCTTCTACCTGCTCGTGAGTCTGTGTTTTGAGAGACTTTAGCATCAAGTATGGGGCTTTCAACCAACCAAGTGAAATTTGCTGGTTAATTCTGTTTTTTCTTGTTGGAGATAAGGTTTCACAGGATAAACTAGCTGGCCTGGAGCTTACTGTGTAGACCAGACTGTCTCCGTGGTGATCCTTTTGCCTCTGCTCTGGCTTTCTATTCTGAGAGAGTATTGTGTGAGCAGTAACATTCATCATAACACAGAGGGTGTGAAAGACAGTTTTCTGAGAGCACAGCAAAGGAGCCGTGAGGAACGGCGCCGAGTCTGCCCATCTGTCTGAGTGCAAAGGAGTGGCCATATGGCCTTTGTGTCATTTTACAAGCACAAAGCTCTACACTTTTCTTATGTTTGTCTTCCAGATTGTCAAAAGAGTGGGGACTAGTGAAGAGACCCCAATGATTGGTGACAAAGTTTATGTCCACTACAAAGGAAAGTTGTCAAATGGAAAGAAGTTTGATTCCAGCCATGACAGAAACGAGCCCTTTGTCTTTAGCCTTGGCAAAGGTAAGAGGGCAATGTTTTCAGTGTTTGTTTAGGTTTGTTTCTGCTTTTAGTCTACAGAAGAAATGGAGCCTGTCCCTGGCAAATGTGGTCCGTGGCTCCCTATGTGTCTCTGTGGTCTTTTTGGGACCATAATGTCACTTTTTGCAGCAGTATGAAGGTAATGCCACTTTCACTTACTGACGCTCATACTGGCAGCCTAAATCTGCAGAGGCACAAACTACAGGGACCATCATGGGTATTGGAGACAGTCGTCTCTGCAGCGACATTGTGCTGTCACTGCCTCTCCTGTCGCCTGTCACCTCAGGCTTTCACCTTCATACGTCAGCCCATTATTACACACATAGTGTGGCAGCTGGGTGGCTCTCGGGTCCTGAGCACAGCCCTTCTCTGCACTCTCGCCCTCAGGAAGCCTGCTGCACTCTCAGGTGGGAGCTGAGCTAGCTCAGTGAACACCATTCTTTTAAGGCAGATGATGACTAGTCAGACTTGAGAGGTATTTCCTGAAGGAGAATGGTATAAACCTGTCACTTCAAAGAAAACAGCTGACAGCTTTTGTTGCCATTGCAGCTTCAGGTAGAAAAGAAGTTTAAAAAAAATTGTGACTGCCGTGTGCTTAACAGCTTCCTAAAACGTAAGACTTGTGTGAGAGCAATGGACACTACTGAGTGTAACTTTCCTCCTGGACAGTGAGATCCGCCACTGTTAGAATATCTGCCTAACTCAGTTAGCCAGAGGTTTCCCAAGGACCAGTGCAATACACACACACACATGGTCAAGTGTGGACGAGCAGTCCATTCAGGCTGGACCAGTGCTTTAGCGGAATACAGTATGAAAAGTCCTTTGATGCAGCTGATCTTCTGAACCGCTTGTCCACTTTGATAGTCACCTAGGAATTCTGTGACACCTCCCTACTGCCTTTTCTTAGGTCCTTGTGAGTTTGCACGTTTCTACATCTTCAGTCAGAAGCAAACAAGTGACTTCCTCTTTGTCTATATTAAATCAAACATGTTTCACTTTGTGAAATTAAAAATGACAGCTCCAGCCTAGGGTGTTGTTCTGTTAGCTAGAATGCTTCCCTGGCATCCACAGAGCTGAGTGTGAACCTCAGGTGTAGTACCCGTCTGGAACCCCAGCTCTTGGCAGACTGGAGGCCGGGGCTCAGAAGCACAGTGTAGTGTCCAGTTGACTACAGAACAAAGAAACGCAAGCCAGCATAATGTCACATACCTATCATCCCAGCAGATTGGAGGGAGGCGTTCTAGATAGGGTTTCTGTTGTGGTGATGGAACACCAAGATCAAAGGCAAGTTGGGGAGGAGAGGGTTTGAATTGCACTTCCACATCCCTGTTCATCAAAGGAAGTCAGGACAGGAACTTAAACAGGGCAGGAACCTGCAGGCAGGAGCTGAGGCAGAGGCCATGGAGGGTGCTGCTGACTGGTTGCTCAGCCTGCTTTCTTATAGATCCCAGGACTACCAGCCCAGGGATGGCACCACCCACTGCGGTCCTCCCCAATTAACCACTAATTAAGAAAATACCTACAGCTAGATTTACCGGTCCATTTTCTCAGTTGAGGTACCCTCCTGTCAGATGACTCCAGCTTATGTCAAGTTGATACAAACTAGCCAGCACAGGAGGCAACCTAGAGCTCTAAGTTCAAAGCTGTGCTGCACTTCACAGCAAGACCCTGTCTCCGGAAAAGAGAAAAAACATAGCCAGGCCATTTAGATTTTATATTAATATTGTAACAGTTGCTACTTCATCAAAATAAAAAATAACTATAAGTAGAAAGTACTTTAAATATTTTCTCTCGAGCTCTCTAGTCCCTTATAGTATACATCTCCCAAGGGAATGTATAGAAATATTCCAAAGAGAAGTTCCAGGCTACTTCTGGGATTCTAGTATGATTTCAGTCTTCTGTTTTGTTTTAAGGTGTAGTCTTCTAGGTAGCCATGCCTATCTTGGAACTCACGATGTAGAGTTTGGCTGGCCTCGAACTCAAAGAGATCTACCTGCCTCTGTCTCCTGAGTGCTGGTGCTAAAGATGTGCACCACCACACCTGGCCTGAGATCAGCATTTTAAATAGGCTAAGACCTGGTTGTTAGCACAGTGGACTGTGTTCCAGGACAGAAACAGGAGAGTTTCCCTCCTGTACTTATGTTATTTTTGTTTGTGGTACCATTGTCCAAATTGATTTTTTTCTCCGAAGCTTCTTTCCTTGATTGTGAAGTACTAAATGAAACAGAGAAGTCCTTTCTTCAGGCTGTGTCTATCTCCGTCATTGGGAGTTAGAAAACTCAATGTACAGTTCTCCCAGCATTGTTGGAAAGACTTGCCTTTCTAAGGATGTCTCTTGTCACCCTTGCTGAAAATTACTGGGTGTACAACTTTTAAATATGTGCTTGCATTTGAAATCTGAGTGTGTTTAGAGTCTGACAGCATGAACGTGTTTTTGTTTCTATCTGAGGAGACAGGTACAGAGGGTAGCAGTCTCTGCTCACTTGTGCACAGTGAGTCAGCCAGGACTCACCCCAGGTTGTCTTTCTGAGGTTTCCTCAGACCTAAGGTGTGAAAGAGTGCAGTCCAGCTTTCAGAACAGCCTACAGCGTGTGCGTGCACGCCTGCCTGCTCCACCGGGTGCTCTTCTGTGTGCAGTGATGCACTGTAGTCTGTAGGATGTATAAACAAAATGCTTGATGATGCTGTGAAGTTAATGTGCCCTTTAAAGAAGTGTTATACTTTATAAATCCCATAATACTAAGCCTAAAAGACATTTTACATCACACTTAATACACTTATTAGAAAGTACTGAAGCTTGTCGACGGTGGCACGCACCTTTAATCCTCCACTCAGGAGGCAGAGGCAGGAGGATCTCAGTGAATTTGAGGCCAGCCTTGTCTACATAGTGACTTCCAGGACAGCCAGGAACACACAGAAACCCTGTCTCAAAAGAAACAAAAAAGAAAGATTAGAGCCAGAGGACGGCTCAGGAGTCAAGAGCACTGGCTGCTCTTCCATAGGACCCCAGTTCTAATTCCCAGCACCCACCATGCAAGTGAAACACTAATACACATAAAATAAGAATAAATAAATAAATAAATAAATAAATAAATAAGATGTTAAAGAAAAAAACCAATTTAAACACAAAAGACTCAGCTATGATCCAGCAGTCCACTTCTGGATAGGTATCCAAAAGAACTGTGGAAAGAGTCTCATGTTTCTACACATGTTCATACCAAGTGTTAGCCACCGTGATCAAAAGGTTGAAGCAACTGAAGTGTCCTTTAACACCTGACTGAAACAAAATGTGATATGGCCACATCGTGGATTATTACGCAAGTCTCCCCACTCGCCCTCCCTCTGGTTTTGGTTTTTCGAGACAGAGTTTCTCTGTAGCCCTGGCTGTCCTGGAACTCACTCTGTAGACTAGGCTGGCATCAAACTCACAGATCCTCCTGCCTCTGCCTCCCGAGTATTGGGATTAAATGTCTGTGCCACCACACTGACCATATTACTCAGTCTTAAAGGAGACGGAAAGTCTGGCACATGCTACATCAGTGATGAACCCCAAAGATACTCGACTAACGGAATAATCCAACCCAGAAGTGAACGCCATGAGCCTCCACTTGTATTACATGTTTATAGAAAAAAATGTTTGCCCGTGGCTGAGAGGAGGAGGAAGTAAGGGTGTATGATCAGGTATAAAGTTTCAGACGGGTAAAACCAGAACATTCTGGAGATAGGCCGCACAGCATGTACATGTAGTCAGTCTATCAAGTGCACATTGAAAAATACTTAAGATGAGAAACATCTTTGAAGTCAGGGGAGTTATGCAGTAAAAATGACTAGTCATTTATTAATAAAGTAGTTGTCATTATAAAGGGAAGTGTTAGGTGATTAAATTCTTTTTTGTTTGTTTGTTTGTTGTTTGGTTGTTTGGTTGGTTTTTGAGACAGGGTTTCTCTGTGTAGCCCTGGCTGTCCTGGAACTCACTCTGTAGACCAGGCTGGCCTCGAACTCAGAAATCCGCCTGCCTCTGCCTCCCAAGTGCTGGGGTTAAAGGCATGCGCCACCACTGCCCGGCAGGTGATTAAACTCTAATATGTTTTTTAAAAAGTATTGTGTGATTTTTTTAACCAGAAAAAATATATATCACTATAGAAGAAAGACAAAAATATAGTACATTGCTCTTATCCCGGGCAAGTGTGTATTTTACTTACTTACTTGTGTGTGTTGTGCAGATGTGTGTCGTGTTCATGTCTGTACGCGTGTGTGTGAAGATCAGCCTTGGGGGCTGTCCATGCTGCTTTTGAGAGGGGACCTCTTCTTTGGACCTGGGACTTAACCATTCAGCTACACTGGCTGTCCCGTGAGACTCACGGTCCTCTCTGCTTCCCAGTGCTGGGCTAGCAGCACTGCCATTGGGCCTGGCTTTTCCATGGAGCTGGGGCTCTGACTCAGGACCTCACACTTATCCACTGAGCTATTTCCCAACATTGCCTTTAAACTCAGATTGCCTGTGTCTTTGTAGGTACAAGAAGTTTAAATATGTATTATTTGATATTCTGTTACAAATGGAATAAAACTCCTAAAATTGAAACATTATATTTGAGGTAGTAAAACTCAGGCCCAGATCAAATATAGGAATAAATTTTTTAAGAATATATTTTTGGCATATTCTGTCTGCAAGATCTTTGAACCGCTGGTGCTTCTGGCCCACTGGTTCTCCTTCTAGGGACTAGACCTACAGGGATGCAACAGCAGTGTGTAACCAGCTCCAGACTAGCTTTTGCTCTGGTTCTGTTTGCAGATAACCTGAGTGATACAACTAGCTCCCATGAGCAGAGCAGAGTTCCACACACTGTGCCCACGAGTGCCCTGGGCACTGACCCGCTCCAGGCGTAGACCGCCAGGAGCACACTGCAGTTGAACAATCTAGGCTCAGTCCTTTCCAGAGAGGATGCACACAGTGGGCTCATATAGGGTTGAAGAATGCGTGTCAGAAAGGCTGTTGATAGTGTTGTGAGCTCTCATGTGGTCTGGGGGAGTTCTGAACAAGCAGGGGTTTGCTCTGAAATGGACACGATTTGGGTGATCCTGTGCTGGAGAAGGAAGACTTCTGCCTGGAGCAGAATGAGACTACATTAACCTATGGTGAGATGCAACAGTTGCCCAGAGCAGCCAGGAGAGGGGGCTCTTTGATATTGTGTAGGGTGCACAGTGACCTTATCTTTTATCCAGGCTTAGATGAAATTTTGAAGTGATCTTGTTTTGTCTGAGTTTCTGAGGTTATGCAGTGACCTTGTGGTGTTTCTAAGCGTGTTTGTGTGCAGTGGAGACTGACACGGCCTTGCTCTGAGCCCAGGCTCACCTCAGACAGCAGCGCCTAGCTGAAGTGTCAGCACCTGGCTGTGGCCAAGGCCTACTTTTTCATTTCTCATATTAAGAATCATCTTTAACCTAACTATCCATGTGTACTTTTTACAAGTATTTTGTGTCAGTAGACTTACAAAACATCAAGGTTAATGATAAAAAGGAAGAGGAGCTGTCTGTGAGAAACCTGTAGGATCCTCGTACAGATTAGTTGGGAGAGGAGAGCTGCTGAAAGCATTCTTGAAATGCCGTTGACTTAGAGTGGACGGACAGTTACAGCCAGTGGCCTTCAGAGCACTCAGGAGAGCCCACATATCGATCACCCACATTGTTCCGGTCTTGTTCCACATTAAAGGACTTTTCCTGTAACCTGACTGACCATGCCCACAGAAAAAGCCTTGGCCACTAACATACTATGAATTAATAAGCTAGCCATGTTTTATCATTTAAAATGAGATATGTATGTGTTGTTTTGCATGATTCTTCACTTAACAGTTTAATGGACCAGCCATTCCTGATCCTGTCAGCTACAGGCTTTCACCGTACAAAGAGCGTTAGACACACGACTGTTCATTTGAGTTTGACGGCAGGGAAGGAGAGCAGCGAGCTGGGCTAGGAGTGGAACGCTGTGGTTAATAAAGGGCATGTGTCAGACAGTCAAGAAAAGGGCTCTGTAACGTGAACCGTGCTGAGAAGCTACAGAGCCAAATAGTGAATCCCGGGTCTAAGAATAGGCATGTAAACATTTAATATATAACAAACAAAAGTTATGTGTATAATTTAAAGGAAATTAACCAGGGAATTGACAATTTCCTTGGTTGCAAGCATTTCAGACATTTTCAAATCGTGTTCTCTATGTTTCAGTGTTTTCTTGGTGTTGCTTTTCAGAAATCTGGTCAGGGAAACTGCGAGGTGGTTCCCACCTGTAATCCCAGCACCAGAGGGGAAGTGGGGTGTGGGCAGAGGATGAAGAGGTCAGGGCTGGCCTTGGTAATGAAGGAGCTGGAGGTCAGCCTTGGGCACAGAAGACTGTCTCAATAATGACAGCAGTAACAAGGCAAAGATCTTCCTGTAGCAACACTTGTGCACTGCAGGTTCCTGTAAGGGACAAGAGTTGGGTGCACTTATATTACAGTGCAGTTTCCTACGGGGCTGGTAAGGTGGCTCAGTGACCTGAGGGTGACCCCTGAGCCATGTGAAGATGGAAGGAGCAACCGACTCTACAAAGTTGCCCTCTGACATCCACATGTGCAGCAGGCACAGGTACACATCATCCATAAGCCGTGTGCTCATCACTCGTGCGTGCCGTGAGGAGTGAGGTAGAGGGACGCTCCCTCATCTCCGCGGGCCAGCACCTAAGAAGCTGAGATAGGGAGTTACAAGTTGAGACCAGCCGGGCTGGATAGTAAGACCCTGTCTCAAAGATCAAAAGAGAGGTTGGGGTTATATGTGGTGGTGACTGAGGACAGCAGCTTTCCTTATTGAATTGTTCTCAATACCAGACACCGTGTGTATACACTGTGCCGTGCATTTGGAATGGGCACTGTTACTAAGTTTTCCAGGTCAGGAGACAGATTAAACTTGCGCAGATTTTCAAAGCTAATAACAGGCAGACCTAAGGTTGGAATATGGCTCTTTGAACCCCGATACTGCATACCCCTCTCTAGTAATCAAGGAAGAACTGAATAGTAATATACTGTCATTTATGGTTTCTTTATATTGTATTGGTTTGGTTTTTCAAGACAGGGTCTCACTATGTAGTCCTTGGCTGTCTTGGAACCCTCTATGTAGACTAGGCTAGCCTTGAACTCAGAGGTCTCCCTACCTCTGCCCCCTGAGTGCTGGGATTAAAGGGGTGTGCTGCCAGCACCTGGCATGCCGAGTCTTAATGATAGGCATGTGCTGTGTAAAATGGTAAGTGGGGCTGATGTTAAGTTATAGAACAAAGATGAAGCTAAAGTCCCAAATAGTGAATGTGTTTTCTCTCCTGCTTTTGTACAGAGTTCCTTTGTCCTCATGTGCCAGGTCCAGCCTGTCACTCCCTTTCCTGTGAGCTCTGTTGCTTCTCTGCTCCTACTTTGACATTTGTTTGTTTGTGTGTGGAGGTCAGAGAACAGCCTTACAGGAATCAGTTCCCTCCTGTCACTTGAGTCCCAGGGATCAGGTCAGCTAGCTCCTCAGCAGGAAGCTCTGTCCGCTCATCTCTGCAGACCCACATTTAAGGTTTTGATTGACATGATACCTCAAGTGCGTTTTGTTGTTAGTGCTAAAATTCCCTGTTGTTTCCCAAAGGGTTTGAGACGGCTTACAATGAGACATAGTTTTTCATTTTGTTTTCTTTTTATTTTGTGAACATTAGTGATCAGCCTGCATGTATGTTTGTGTGAGGGCATCCGACCCCCTGGAACTGAAGTTACACACAGCTGTGAACTGCCATGTGGTTGCTGGGACTTGAACCTGGGTCCTCAGGAAGAGCAGCCAGTGCTCTCTCTACACCACTGAGCCACGTCTCCAGCCCCTACTGTGACATGGTTAATGCTGCACGTGATAAGCGTGTTACTCAAGCATGGTGCACATGCCTGTCATCTAGGAGGCCTAGAGGCAGAAGCCATGTGGCAGACTTAGGAGCTAGGCCAGCGTATGCTGCATGATGAGGCTGTCTCAAAGTTCCAGAACAGAAGCGTGTAGATACTGGCACTGACCAGGTTACCTGCTGCAGGTCCACAGCTGAGCAGTGACGCTGAGCTTCTGAAGCCGGCAAGAAAGGAAACGTCCCAAATGTTACAGTCCTTAGGATTTGGCAGATCTGGGTTTTGTTTGAAGAGTCGAAGCTTTTCTCTGACAGATTTGGTTTTTCTTTTTGTTTCCTTCCTTTCTCTTAGGCCAGGTTATCAAAGCCTGGGACATTGGGGTGTCTACCATGAAGAAAGGCGAGATCTGCCATTTATTATGTAAACCAGAGTATGCCTATGGCTCTGCTGGCAGCCTCCCGAAAATTCCCTCAAACGCAACTCTCTTTTTTGAGGCAAGTATGTGTGCTGCCACTGACCGGCACGCGCTGTGTCGCAGCAGTGAGGGGCCGAGCCGGCCAGAGAGCTTGTTCCCGCTTATTTACTTTGGAGCTTGGCTTCTTGAATTGTTTCCCACACACCCAGGGGATGTGCCAGTGCTTTCTTAGAAATGTGTCTCTGGCACAAAATGGGCATATCCAAACAAACAAAAGACGCAGATGTAGAAATAAAAGTTCTGGTCAGTAGAGGAAGTAAGACATACTCCACACTGACAGGCCGGAAATGGTGGTGGTGAGTGTTAAGTTGTCAAGGTTTACGACCTCTCCTCATATCCATCAGGAGCAGTGAGTGGTGGTGCGTTGTTTACTGTGTTGAATTAACAACACATAATTGGCCAAACTGGATCTTTATCTGACATGATGAAAAGCACATCTCAGTCAGTTGAAGACCAGATTCTTAAATCTTAAGGTGGAAACTTCACAAATCTGGGGTGGAAAGCGGGTGTCCTCAGAGTCAGCCAAGGCTGTTCTGTGCCAGCACCTTGTACTGCTGGCCTTTTGCCCACAAGGCAGTTGTCCTAGTGTTTCCTGTCTGTCTGTGCACTGCAGCCCCACAGGATGCAGTCCTAGACAGTGTCATTACATGGAGTTCTTTCCAAGTACTGCAGAGTACAGCGTCTCATTTCCCACGTTCCTATAATCTAAACACGTACATAAAGATATAGCTTCAAGTTTTATGAAATAGCTGTTGGTTAAACTGGCTTTCATCTTTTCTAGATTGAACTCCTTGATTTCAAAGGTGAGGATTTATTTGAAGATTCGGGAATTATCCGTAGAATCAAACGGAAAGGCGAGGGTTACTCCAACCCAAACGAAGGGGCGACTGTAGAAGGTGAGTGTGAGCGCTGCCGGGAGCCAGGCCCGCCCCAGGAAGACACGGTCCTAGGAGAGAAGTCATTAAACTATGAGAAGAGGAGAGTTTCTCTGAAACAACTAGAATGACTTTCTTACTTTTAGCATGTACATACTATTTAGACCAATATTTCATTACACAAGTCTGGCAAAATTCACGTTTAGTTATTTTCTTATTGGAAGCAGTTACAAACATAGCAGTTGCAGTGTTACAGGTGACAGGTCATTCAGGATTTGTTCTAGAACAAAGAAGAGCTCAGGCAGGAGCAGGAGACAGGGGTCTAAGGCTGGCTCTGGGCCTCTGGGCCTCACCCCTTCCTAGACTGAGGCTGTGCTGGACTTCTTGGTTTCAAAGGCTCCACCAGCCCCAAGTACCCACAGTGAGAGCCATGCTTATGAAAGGATTAGAGACAGCTGTAACAGCCACTTAAAAGCTTACTCGTAATGTGTTTTCATCTTTTATTATGAAAGATTCAAATCCATACACCAGGTTTTTTCCTCTGCTATGGAAACTCCTCCAGAGTTAGAGATTTGTAATAATTTGTTCTGTTTTGATTTGATTTTTGAGACAGGGCATTTGTCGAGACCAGGAAGTCAGTAGAGCCATCCCCTGTCCCACGCCCATTACCACGCTAACTTCTTTTCCTGTCTGGATTTGGATTCAGAACCAGGAGCTGCATTCAGCTCTTATGGCTCTATGTCCTTCCAATGAATTAGTCCTCCGTCTTTGTTCTCTGTGACTTTGACACTTCTGAAGACAGATTTCTGTTTGCTAGAGAGTCCCACAGTTTAGGTTTGTCTCCTGCCTGCAGTCACTACATTGAGCTTTTAAAAAATGCCCTGTGGGTGGCACTGTGCCCTCTTTAGTCCCCCATCACCACCACCATCACCACCACCACCACCATCACCATCACCACCACCATCACCACCACCATCACCATCACCACCACCATCACCACCACCATCACCATCTCTGTCAAGCGGCACATAGTGTCTTAGCTTTTGGTGACTACTGGGCTAAGGTAGAGCCTCCCGTGTTTCTCTTTTGTCAAGCTATTCTTTGTAAGTGCTGAGTGTTTCAGGAAAAGGAATGCTGGGAAGCCACTGACCTTTACACTGCACGTGCACTAGTGAGGTTTCTGTACAGCAGTTATCACTGTGCTGTGTGATTTATAATTACTGTTTTCAGTTTACATTCATTAGTTGAAATTCTCCTGCAAGGAAGATGTCTCTTCTCCCTGTGATGATCCATCTGGCTGTTTCCTTTTGTCAGCATGCACCTAGGGTTACTGTCTCCTCCAGCAAGATGTTTTCCCTTCTGCTCAGATTGCCCCAGTGTTGACTGTTGGATGCCTTCCTTCCTGAGGGCTCTGCTCACCACACTGCTGCCTTTCCTTGTTATTTGTGGAGAACAGCGTTAGCTGTTTTTGCTTTGTCTTCCTCACTTATGGTGCTGTGAGATGTTCTAGGATCACTTTACAATCCCCCTGGCCCAGGCCTGGGATCATCGGCTTCTCCAGGAGCTCTGTTTCCTTCCACTGGAAAATAGCATCTAGAAACTGCATCAAGTGCTCATGTGTATTTGTATGGCGGGACTTCACGCTCCTAAAGCATCTTACAGACAGAGGTCAGGAGTACACTTCAAAAGTACAGACAAGAGACTGGAGAGATGGCTCAGTGATTAAGAGCACTGACTGCTCTTCCAGAGGTCCTGAGTTCAATTCCCAGCAACCACGTGGTGGCTCACTACCATCCGTAATGGGATCTGATGCCCTCTTCTGGTGTGTCTGAAGACAGTGACAGTGTACTCATGTAAAATAAAAAAATAAATACATTTAAAAAGAAAAGTATAGAGAGCATCTGCATGGATTCTGTATCAGCCACGTGTGTATTTAAAACATCAAGTACTGGCCAGAGTAAGGAAGAGCACTGGTTGCTTTCCCAGAGGACCTAGGTTCAATTCCCAGCATGTATGTGGCAGCTCACAATTGTCTATAACTCCAGTCCCAGGGAATCCCAAGCCTGTTCTGGCCTCTGAGGGTAATAGGCACACATGTGGTACACAAACATACACGCAAGCAGAACACCCACACGTGTAACAAATTCCTCAAACCCATGAGTACATAGAGTGCTAGTCAGCACCTCAGGTTTGTTCTTCCTTTCCTCATCTGGAAATCCTTTCCAGTATAGCCACAGTTTGTTTACATCTGCAGTCCTAGACTGTACATCAAGTCACACCTCATGGTAAACACCTAAGAGTTTCTGGGTTTCTGGGTACAGTGGAATGGTCAGGCATGGGGAACATATGGGCTTTGGAGGTCTTAGTTTGAGCTGTCGAGTCTCGTGATTACTGCCTATTGTATGTCTTCCGACAACTTTAACACCCTTGAGTATCTAGTTTTCTTGTGTGTAAATGGGGCTGACTTTTCCTGTTTGAGTTGTGATAGTTGTGACAAAGGGTCCTTTTTATACAGTGGGCTTTCCCTTCTCACCCTCTGTGCTGTGTTTACATAACTTGTTTTGCTTCCTTTACCTGGATTTAAGGAAGGAGTTCTGGACTCTGTTCATTTCCTACACCTAATCCTTGGCTAATGTGTCTCTAGTGACAGTCTTCATTTGGATTTTCTGTCTTCTTAGTCGTGGTAGGTTTTGTTCTTAAGTGAGTGGGCTAGATGGAAGGCTGTTAAATCATAATCTTCTGTGCTGCCTTTACATTTGTGAAATTCATTTTTTCTCAAGACAGTGTGCTTTTTACTCTTATCAGAATCCTCATTCTTACAAATCAGCCATAGGTTCTCCTGTGCTTTCTCTTGCCAGGTAAAATGGCTATCCTGTCGTTTGTATTCAGTGCTTGTCCTTTTCCATCGTAAAGAGAAGTCGGTGTGTTCTGAGGGCTCTGGTGGTGTGATTATGATGACTGACACGTTAGTCCTCACACTTGAGCTTAGGTGCTGGCCTGGCTGCATTGACACTCGAAAGCTTTGCTGTCAGATACAGTCCAGTTGTGCTGAAGCAGGGCTCTGAGTGGCTCCCGTCCCTCTGGTGCCAACTCCTGTTTTGGGTTTCAGCTTGTTAGTGTTGGTGGGAACTGACCGGAACTGACCATGGGAGCGCAGGCTCCTGGACTCTTTTGCCCTAGGCTTTCAGCTCCATTTGAATGTAGCTGCAGTGCAGGGTGCTGTCATATATGCAGTTCCAACTATAATCTCCAGGTTCCTGCTGTGGGGGAATTCCCCTTCCCTCTCACCTCCTGACCCAATAAAATGGTGTAGGTGGAGGAGGGAGGGAGTTACTCTGTAAAAGGAGGTCATGGTGGGACACACCTTGGAACCCAGCACTCTGGAGGCAGCGGTAGGAGGTCTCTGTGAGTGCAAGCCCAGCCTACTACTACTACTAGTGAGTTCCAGGAGAGCTAGAGCTCCACAGTGAGACCCTGTCTCAAAAACTGAAGAGAGAGACAGAGATGGATTAGAAATGCGAGCTTATGAAATATAAATATGTAAGATTGATGGGATGGAAACGGATTCTGTAAATCCAACCTGAAGCAGGTGTTGAGAAGACCTCTGCAGAGGTACATACCGTTCTTCCCAACAGGCTCGGGCAGAACTCCAGGCTCGCACTCAGCGGGTGCAAGGGAGCCAAAACAGGCTGTGGGGCAGTCATCAGGACTGCTATAAAACAATATGGGGCAGCCACAGCAGTAAGCCTCTACTGCAGGAACTCTCAGCCTTGGCTGCGAGAACTATCTCGGTGCCCAAGCCTCCAACCCGTTAAATCAGTCAGAGGAGACACTGGCAGAGGCAAATATTTTTTAAACTCCCTGGTGAGTCTAGTTTCCAGCCAGGGTCTGGAAATGAACTGCCCGAGGATCTGTCTCACTGTGCTTTCTGCTCAAAAGCTAAAGCCGGTTCCACAGTGCAGCAGGGGCGCCTCAGAAGCTGTGGGCTCAGCGGTGGGCTGCAGAGCAGGAGGACGCAGTGTCTCGGAAATTCTCAACCATGTACTGGGTGTGGCAGTGCTCCACAGCAGTAAATAATGCTGTGAAGGGTTCTGTCTCTGAAAGGAATCTTTTCCATACCTCAGCAGTAAGGCCGAGCCTCCTCAGCCTACAACAGAACACACCTCTCTCAGACGTTAGCATGATCATATATGAAACCTTTACTCTACTTCCAATTTCAGGTATGTTTTCCTTACTTCATGTACAAGGAACAAATAACCTGAACATGTTGTTTAGACGTTATGAGTCCCAGTGCCTTTGACAGCTGTCGTTTGTTCGTTCGTTCGTTTGTTCATTCATTCATTCATTCATTCATTCATTCATTCATGCTGCATGCATGCCATGTGAAGGCCAGTGGTTGATGCTGAGTGTTTTCTTCAGTGGCTCTAGACCTTTTGTTTTTGAGACAGGGTTTCTCCATGTAGCCCTGGCTGTCCCTGAAACTCACTCTGTAGATCAGGCTGACCTCAAACTCACAGAGATCCCCCTGCCTCTGCCTCCCAAGTGCTGGCATTAAAGATGGGTGCCACTATGCTAGGCTCCACCTTGTTGTTTTTTGTTTGTTTGTTTGTTTGTTTTGTTGTTGTTGTTTTTGGTTTTTCGAGACAGGGTTTCACTGTGTAGCCCTGGCTGTCCTGGAACTCACTCTGTAGACCAGGCTGGCCTGGAACTCAGAAATCTGCCTGCCTCTGCCTCCCAAGTGCTAGGATTAAAGGCATGCGCCACCACTGCCTGTCCACCTTGTTTTTTTAAAAACAAAATCTTTTACAGAACCTAAAATTTACTGATTTGACTAGACTGGCTGGCCAATGAACTCAAACACTGTGTGTGCTGTGTGTGTGTGTGTGTGTGTGTGTGTGTGTGTGTGTGTGTGTGTGTGT